AAAGACAAGAGTCTAGCATATGACTGCAATGTTTTCCTTCTAGCTTTGACTCGGCTAACTGCCCCTGTAGTTTGTCTCAAGAGTCTCCCATGGCAGCATGCACAGCCAATCACACTGGCCTTATTCGTTACGGACGTAGGATTTCATGAAAGAACTTCATTTAACCCTTTCTGCACCTCTTGGATAACAAGACATTGAATGGCTTGTTGTTTTTAGTGGAATCGGTCAAACTATTGGTGGGGACTGTTTGGTCATCGCTGGATATTGATGGGAACACGTCACCTCTGTCCATGCCAAATCTACACCCTTGCTGTTTTATTTTTATACATAATTTGTGCTGTTTTACAATTGATCAAGTCCTGGAAATTCATGGCCCATGTTTAAATAAACAGTTGATTTGTCTGATCCCTATATCCTGCATTTGTTACTAATCTGATACCTTTTTTCTGCATTATCGGTATTGTTTGTTTATTTCCCCAGCTCTCTACACAGTAACTCAGATATGGCTGTATCGTGTTGAATAATATATAAAGTGATTTCTGATTGAGTATATGCTTAGTCTTTCCCGTTACAGCAATGCACCATGCAAGCTTCCCCCTGACATATTTGATGTGTGGCTTCCAGCAGATTTTGCGGTAAACGGTTACTCCAAGAAATTTTATTTCATTTACTCTCTCCATATGTACTTTATTAATTACTAACTTACTTCAGTGTATCTCTTTTGATTTCCAAACAGCATGAATTTGGTTTTATCTAAACTTAATGACAGTTTATTTACATCAAACTACTTTTTTAGTTTGTTTGCTTTGTGACCACTTCCAAAGTCTGTTGCAATTTCACACCAGTACAAAAATAAATCGTGTCATTTGCAAACAATGCAAACTTCAATACCCTTCAAATGTCATTTATGTATATTGTGAACAGTTTAAACCCTGATACTGATCCTTGAGGTACCCCACATGGTATACTAATTTGTCCTCGTTTATATTGATTTATTTGTAAAAAGTGGTGCCTATTTGTAAAATAACTTTATCCAGACCAGTACTATCCCCCTGAAACCGTATTTTTCCAATGTCCTTATCAATGTGTTGCGGTTAATGTTGTCAAATGCTTTCTTTAGATCTAGAACAGCCCTGTTGCATACTTCTTATTCTCATTGCATTCTGTCATTTCTTCTACAAGATCAACCAGTGCCAGGGCTGTTGACTTGTTATTCCTGAAACCATACTGGCTTTCGTCCAGCAACTAATATGTATCATAAAAATCATCAAAATCTTTTAATGAATAGTTTTTCAATCGCACCTGGGTACCGGGTCGCTGGGTTCCGGGCTCGGCCGGCTTGCAGGTGGCAGGCTGCGGGTGAGCCTGTGGGCTTGCAGCTGATAACTCCTGGGACTCTGCCTGCTGCTGGTTGTGACCCGCGGGGCAATCCTCTGCGCTCCCCGAGAGGTTGCTGGTGCTTTTCTGGTTACAGTCTCCCTGGAGTTCCTGTGCTCTGGGGCAGCTCCTGGATCTCTGAGACTTGGAGCTCCTTCCATCTCCTGCACATCTTTGAAGGCAGATCTGTGGCTCCTCACACCCTCTTTTGGACGCTCCTATAGAGAAACCTTACATATACAAGCGCGTGTACACACACAGGTGCTCACATGGTGCTCTCATAAGTATGGACTTGGACATTTTCAACGCATGTCTTAAGGCTGTGGTTGGCACTAAATACACTGTGATTTATTATTGTGTGATTGTTAAGTAAAACAATGTTGATTTTATAATTCCTGACGCAGTGACAGTTTGCTCCTGTTGGCTTGTTGTGTGTTTGTTTTTCTCTTTCTGCAGGTCTAGAAGCAGACACTTGTTCATCATTGATTGTTTATTTTTGTGGGGACCCCCCCCCCCCCCCCCCCCCCCCTCTCTTTCACCTCTGTCTCTGTGTCTGGTAGGAATTACACAGCATACAAAAAACAATAACAACAACACAAGGGCCTCAGTGACTGGAGAGTCCAACTCAAAGTCCCCAGACTCTGTTTCCTCACTGGAAGACATTCTGGTGGAATTGAGGGGGCCTTCGAAGTTTTTTGCCCACTAATCCACAAAGTCTGGAATAGCACACCTTCACCACTGTAAACAGTGTTGGTAGTGCACTGCTTTCCCCTCCTGAGATGCCGGATGGTGGACCAGAATCTCCTCGAAGCCATACAGAAGTTTTGCTCCATGGTCTCACCAAGCTCCTCCCACAACCGGATTTTTGTCTCCCCAACCATGTGAGTCGCATTCTGCTTGGACTGCCGGTACCCATCAGTTGCCTCTGGAGTTCCACAGGCCAAAAGGACTCAATAGGACTCTTTCTTCAGCTTGACACCTACCCCAGTGTGTTCGGGGTTGCCACCATGACAGGTACCGACAACCCTGCGGCCGCAGCTCTGGTCAGCCACCTCAACATTAGAAGAATGGAACATGGCCCACTCTGACTCAAAGTCTCTCGCTTCCCTTGAAACATGTTCGAAAATATGTCAGAGGAGGGAATTGAAGCTTCTTCTGACAGGAGACTCCACCAGATGTTCCCAGCAGACCCTCACAACACGTTGGGCCTGCCAGGTCTGACTGACTTCCTCCCCCACCATTGAAGCCAACTTACCACCAGGTAGTGGTCAGTTGACAGGTCCGCCCCTCTCTTCACCTGAGTTTTCAAGACAAGACAATACTGTTTTTTTCATTCTATAAAATCCTGATATTTATTTTTCCCTTATCCCTTATTTTTGATTATTCAATTTAATAGCGTCCAAATACCCTTTTATGTTTTTTTTCTATACTTATCTAACTTATTTAGAGAGTTCTAGACTTTTGATGATAATTAAAAAGAGAGATCATATGTCTCCTACATTTCTTGTCTATTAAATTCAGAATATAATTTAAGATCCTCCTTCTCACTCATAATCAAGCTTCATCATACATCAGTGATCTGATTGATCCATATAGCTGTGGTGGCCCATCGGCTTGAACACTGTTGCTAACCACTTAAACATTCTCCCTCTCCTGATAATAACATTTTACTCTCTTTGACGTTGGATGTGCTACTACTAGTTTACCTGTTTAACTATAGATTCACTAGGATAAATACAATAAAGTTTATCTCTCACCAAATAGAATATAAGACATCATAATGTAACCATAGAAACACTACGTGGTGTGTGTGTGTGTCTGTGTGTGTGTGTGTGTGTGTGTGTGTGTGTGTGTGTGTGTGTGTGTGTGTGTGTGTGTGTGTGTGTGTGTGTGTGTGCGCGTGTGCGTGTGTGTGTGTGTGTGTCTGCTCTGTCTTCTCCCTCCCCAGTGAGTCATGGTGGATGGCTGCTTATACTGAGCCAGGATCCTCTGGAGGTTTCTTCCTGTTAAAAGGGAGTTTTCCTCTCCACTGTCGCTAAAAGCTTGCTTAGTATGAGGATTGCTGTAAAGTCACTGACACTAGTCAGTGACTTGATGCAACCTGCTGAGTTCCTTATATAGGAAACGTTTTACTGATTGGCTTAAATAACTGACCTGTACTGGAATATTTACTTTGTGCCTTGAGACGATTCTTATCATGATTTGGCGCTATATAAATAAAGTGAATTAAATAAAATTTATAAAATATTCATGTTTACACCTCTTCAGACTATTTGTTAGTTTGTTTTTATATCTTTTATACTTTTTTTGTTTTATTTTATATGAATTCACAGTATAGTGTGTTTCTTTTTGCATGCATTTTGTAATCCTTTGGTCATCCATGATGTTTCTTTGTAATTATTCCCACTGATATGTTTCATCACTGGACAGTTTATTTCAAATAAATTTTTAAATATACCTAAAAATATATCATAAGCTTTGTTCATTTCATTTTGTTCATAAAGTACCTTCCAATGTTGCTTTAAAAGATCATTCTTAAGACTCTTTAACCCTCTGGAGGCAGGCGTTGCAGATTTGCAATGTTAAAACCTTCCTACCTGGTTACTCCACACACGTGTTTCATGAGCATTTTTTTTTTACTCAGAAGTTCCCCTGAATGACGTAGTTGTTCATCTTTTTATCAAAACTTACTTTGAACCTGAGAGGGTTAACCTCTGTTCTGTTTTTATTTTTATCGTACATATGATTATTTAAATCCCTATCGTTTTTATAATGACAGTCATAAGAATCAGTAACTGGTAGATGGTCACTTAAATCACTTATTAATAACCCACATTTCACTTATTCTTCCGTTGAATTTGTAAATATGTTATCTTTTAAAGGAGCACAATGTATTGTTATTCTAGTTGTATGGTCTTCATATCAATGAAAATAAACCTATGCTATACATAACATCAATAAATTCATCTGTACTTTTATTTTTATTTGTATTGAGCTTGTCTAGATTGAAATCCCCACAAATAAATAACCCCTTCTGGTACACATTTCTAAACATCTCGTCCATATTATTCTGAAATGTTTCAGTCTTAGAGCCTGGTGCTCTCTATATATAACTAACTGGTATGTTCTTCTTTCTTTCCATAGTTGTTTCAACTTTTATACAGTCAGCACTCCCCCAGTTGTAGTCGTCATCCTTTCTTCTCTTTTATGTTTCACATTTTTATCAATATCAAGTGCCCCCCCCCCCCCCCTTTTTTTTTTACTTCCTGTGTTGGTGAAAAAAATTCGTTGTTCAAAGTTTTCTTCTCTTCCAAGTGTTATCCAGGTCTCTGATAGGGCAATTACAGTAAATGGTCTCTTGAACGATGTTATGTTCCCTGATGGAGTCAAAGTTTGCATATACACTTCTGGTATTGAATCATAGTTATACTCTTATCTAACTTCATCTTCGTATTAAATTGTTCTTTGGTGTAATAATACATTCATTTATTTCATTCTTAAAGAAATTGTAATCAGGATCTATATTATGTTATATTTCACAATAATGAACTATTAGGAAACCTGTCATGACTAAATTTGTGTTGTCAAATATTCTACTGATTGCCAACTACTAAAAAAGAAAAGGAAAAAAAATCCAGGAATTGTATCTAATGTTGTGCTTGATGTCCATCTTTATTTGATGAAGACCAAAGAGAAACAAAACACAGACAATGTTCAAATCGTGATTTGCAGGAAACATTTACTCTATTGAAAAGCACTCGTAACTGCCCTCACAAGTCACACCTTAATGACCTGGATTCTGGTGGGACGCTTAAGCTCTGGAGCGCAGCTCCACCCAGCGTAGCACTGACAGGTGAAGTTTTCTACCCAGGCGTTGAGGTCACTGGCAGTGGGCAGACCCACGGCGATGTACCGCCCACCAGCTCGTAGAATGCTGAAGTAGGTGGGGTTGAGGTGTAGATATTCTGAGGAGTTGTAATTCTTTCTCACACAGCGGCCGTGACTCTGGCATAGGACATTGCTGCAGAGCATGGCTGCAGCCGTCACGTTGGCAATGTAAGGGTTAAAAGTGGAGCTCAGGTACTCAGACAGGGACTGGCAGGCAGCCTGGACAAGAGCAGAAGCAGTAAAATCAGGGTCCTAGCACTAAGAAGAAGTTACAAATCCTGGATTATCTATTGTTGTGGCTCTGAATAGTGGGTGTTGGTGTCTGGATTTTAATGTGGTGGCTTATGTGCAAGCATACAATCAGCACACAACTGCTTGTGAGTGGCTGTACACTATTCATGAAAGGATTAAACATTACAATGTCATACGTAAGTTAAGTTGTGAGAATTTCCTCACACATCTGTAAGCTCTGATAACAAAACCCCAGCCACCAACTTCCCCTGAAACAGGAAACAGCGACGTTCTACATTTTTTGCCGAGTGAAGCTGTGTCATCGGATTTCCTGTTTTCATGTTCTGACAGAGAAACCTTGAGTATCATCCTTTAGCTTCTTCTTTTCTCCCATTAAAGAGACAACAGGAAAATACTTTATATTTAGCCAACAGAAAACATGCCTTATCAAAGTCTATTCTATGTGTCTGCACCCTTTACAGCTGACGGTTTTATCTTCTGTGGATTGTGTTGCATTGTCACATTTGAGAATTTGCTCTCTAAATTCTCAAATATGAAATTTCAGGTGGTCTATGGGCCACATCTGACTCCAGAGCAGCCGACCTCTGGTCTAGTCAGACATTTTAATACAGTAGAAAGACACATCGATCCTATTTTGACTAAAAATTTAATGTTTACCTTGTTGTTGTAGTCCTTGGTACCGCCCCACATCACAACCCCAGAAGCTCCCAGAGCTGCTGACTCCCCTACAGTGTTGACAAGATCCATCTGAAAGTGCAGGAAGCACAAAAAGAATAGACTGGAAACAGATTTTTGGACTGGATCACAAGCTGAATGGGTTTGCTTTGACTTGAAATATCTTTTAAGATAAATTTATCCTTCTGGTATTTCAACATGGTTGTCAGAGAAACTCTCTGAACACGCTTTAAACAAAGTCCAGTGGTCGTTCCGAGTTTATTTCTTTTATTAAATCAAGATTATATTCAGATAAAGAATATTTATGAATAATAAAACAGACAGTTTTCCAGCTCAATCTGCAGTAAATAGCAAATGGCATGTATTTATTTAGCACCTTCTTAGGGTTCGACAACCCCTCAAGGTGCTTCACAACACACTCATTCACTCATTCACTCACACACATTCACATGGCAGGCAGTAGTGGTCGGAATCATACTTCCACTCATCACCAGCGTAAGTGTTACATTAAGTTTGACCTTTTGTTAATCAAGCTGAATCTTTTTAAACATGTTTGTATAATTATGAGTCCACGTGGTAGATGTGTCGCAGTGCATTATAAAATCAGTCAACTTTGGAAAAGGAATGATTAAGTATCATTAAAAGCCTAAAGATCATTTCATGATCCTGGTTCTGGTCTTCAGGGCCTTACATGGACAAGCACCATCATACATTTGTGATCTTCTCAATCCCAAAAGCCTACTGGTTGTGCAGCACCAGGGTAAAGGTCAAAGGTGACAGATCATTTGCTGCTGTGGCCCCCAGACTCTGGGCCTCTCTCCCCCTGAGCCTGAGATCAGTGGACTCAGTGGTCTCCTTTAAAAAGCAGCTGAAGACTCACTTGTTCAAGCTGGCTTTGGTGTGACCTTCATCACCCTGTCCTTGTTCTTCTCTCCCCAAGATCCACTGATTTTCCTCTTTCCTATTCTCACTCTCTCTCTTTGTATTTTTTAATCACAATTGTCTATTTTTGCTTATTTTAAACATGTTTTTGATCATTTTTCAAAAATCGTTTTTATATTTTAAATTTTTGTTTTTGTGAAGTGCCTCATGATTTTTATCTTGAGAGGCGCTTTAGAAAAGATCTTTTCTTTCTTTTGATAGGGTTAGGGTTCTGAGTGGATGTAACCTCTGCCCACAGCTGTGGAACAGTCTGAATGAACATCAGATCAGCAAATGTGAGTAACTCCACCTCCCATAAGTTGTTGATATATCTCTGAAGATATGATTTTGGGACTTTAGCTGCCATACAACACTAACAAAAACCCAATTAGGATTAAAGAACATAACTATATTACTATGAGTGAATGAATAAGTTTTATTTAAGTGCCATGCACGACTCGTGCCCAGCCCATATGGACTTATAACAGAAAGAAGTGGCTATACATTTACATTAATAACCATCATAGGGTGATTGGATGTTTTAGCTCTTTAGTCCGAACCTAAATGCCACGTCTGAGAGAAAAGTTTAAAGATGAAAATTTCCAAATATAATTTCAGCTCAAGTTAAGTCTGAACCTTACGAAACAAGTCATCACCTGGGTCTCGAACGCCTTGGTCTGATCTCGGTAGAGGGGTCTGGAGAAGACGTAGATGGGGACTGTGTAGGGTCGTTTAGGCATGGCCGCCACTCTGACTGCCTCCTGAACACGGTTGCGGACAAAGAGTGCAGCTTTGGGGGAGTTCTTAAGGCTCTTGTGGAGGTAGACTGAAGGAAACAGGGCTGTGCTTCGTTCCCAAAGCCACATCAACTTGTTGTTCTGCTTCTGGGTCATTTTGGAACACTCCCCTGTGAAGTTTGACTTCCTCCACCCATAATTGTAGCAGTCAGGAAAGAGGTAGAAGCCCCAGCGGCGGCTCGGACGCTTGCGGATGCCTAGGATGATAGTTTGCTCCATGAAGCGGCGCCCAGCATTCTCAAACTGGCTCTTTGCCAGAGAAGAAATTTGCTTAGATGATAAGAATGGAGCCATGAGAAGAGCATGGGCAAGAGACACCTTCTGATAAACACGTTTTGATCCCCCGTTCTGGTTCCACAGGGGCCGCCAGGACTCCCAGTCAATCACAGCCAGCCCGGGAGTGGAGTCTTGGGAAACGTAGAGATTGATTTGATTCTGAGCTTTGGCCAGATGTTCTGTCAGGTTTCCATTTTGTGGGACACCGCCTTTGTAGATCTTGTGCTTGATGCTGTCAATTTTAGGGTAAAGGCCGAGACGATCCTCATAAAAGATGGAAAGAAACTGACCAGTAACAGGGGTGGGTGTAGTTACAGCCTGGAAGGCAGCAGTATCCAGTGGGATCTCCAGCTTTTTGCATTGATCAGTGGGGGCATTCCATATGGCCACAAAGGGATGGCCATGGATCAGCGGTGGTTCGGTTGGTGGTAGAGCAAGAACTGAGATGATGGAGCTGATGATGGAGATGGGCAGGAAGAACACAGCCATTGTAATGTCTCTGTGTGGAGGCAACAAAAGCAAAAGTTTAGGATTGGACTGGGGAAGATCATGTCACCCCACCAAAAAGATATAAAATCTCATGTCAGTTGTGACCCCCACACCCACCAACCCACACTTTGTTTGATGGGGTCCAGCAACGCTACTTAAACAACACCGATGTTATGTACGTGGAATCTGCCATTTGGACCTCTCGGCACATTTTGTCGAAGCTGACTGATAAATCGATAAATCATTCAGTCTGATAAACCAATGTCGGAATGTCACAGAAATATTATTGAGCCTAATCCTAAACAGGCCGATACATTTTATTGCAGTCTGCATTAATTCCAATATTATAAAAGAAATATTATAAATGTTAAATCATATTCAAATATTCATATTTAATATATTTATTTATTACTAATATTCTCAAGTTTTAATCACCACTAAAATGCTTCACTCTGTCACTTTCTGTCCGTTTCCCCCACTTATCCAATTATGGGTCACACAGCACCAGCAGAGAAGCCCAAACCTCTCTTTCTCCGGCAACCTCCACCAGCGATATCACCAGGCATTCCCTGATCAATATGAAGACATGTCATTTCCCAAATGCCAAATGCAGATTGGGATGGGACTTTCAAGGCATTTGCCCTTCATCTGCCACCTGATTCACAATGCATCAGAGCCTTTGTGTTCCTCCTGTAGGTAGTGGGCCTACGGGTTGTGGAGCCCACTTAACTGGTTTGGGCTAGGTACTCTGCCATTACACTCTTAAAGGGTCTTTTGAACCTCGCTTGAATCCTTCACCTGAAAGCAATCTGATATGGGCATGGCCACCTGCTCTGAAGATCCCTTCTCCTGGAAACATAAAGACTGGATAATTTCAACTTTAAATAATTAGAAAACTAAAAAATGTGTGCTTTTAAAAAACCCTAACGGTGATTAACATCTGAAGATATTGATTCAAAAAATTCAACTGTAGATGGGAAACTGTAGTAAAGTCAACCATGTGTCACTAGAGGATTGTGTACATTGCTGTGCTTCTGCTGTGCTTTCACCTGAAAAGGAAAATTATATGTTGGGTTTATCCATTTGGAAGGGTAATTGTGCTAGAAATGATGCTTTTGCCATAGTAATCAGAATACCACATTGACCAAGCATGACGCATGAAGGTTTAAGAGTCAAGAAAACTGTATTTGACTCTTTTTTAATAAAGAAATGAAAAAACCTGAAACCAAGCAGTTTTTTTAAATGAGAGAAAGCCATTAAAGAGCTTTTCCTGCTACATTTTTTAAAGTAGGATCAGCTTTCCATAATGTTCAATTTATACATTATTATTATTATTATTATTATTATTATTATTATTATTAACGTTTAACAATCAAATATTTTTTACAGAACAGCACTTTACAGAATCTAACTTACAAAAATCAAATATAAGTTTTTTACTTTTGAAAATTTAGTGTCAAGTCAATTTCCGTATTGTGGAATAGAATAGAATAGAATAGAATAGAATAGAATAGAATAGACTTCACTGATCCCACACTGAGGAGATTCATTACATTAACGCTACAACAACAGCAGCCCATACATTTAGAGAACAGTTCTAAGAAAACTAATAACAACATGTATGTACACATAGGCAGTAACCTATTACTTTAACTTTCAAATAAATAAAAAAAAAGCACGGATAAAAATGAAACCTAGATTCCAGCACTGTGCAGCATACTGTAAGAGACAGACATACTATGTAAATCTGGTATTACATCGGTATTAAACACATACTGAGTATTGCATTGGTGTTATTGTGTACCAGGATAATGCCAGTACCAGTTAAACTGAGGAGTTATGAATGACCAATGGTAGTGTTCTGTTTTACACCTGGGATGCCTAAGATGTGTTATCTAAATAACATTTCAAATACTACTTTCACTATCTTCGTTAACAGAACATATTTCAAACAATAAGAATGACATCATAAATTACAACCAAAAAGAGAAAAGGCAGTGCTTATTTTAGCCTTCCCTAATACCATTCATGAAAACTGTTGTGTGTTTTTTCTGCTCTAATAAATAATAACTAACCAATCTCTTCCTGGCTACCGAAAAGTCAAAAGACTTCAAATGAACACTATCTATTTACACAATGATGTGAGTCAAACATTGCAGTTTCAATATTTTTATGTGCACAGAAGTTACATAAGCCTACCTGCTGCTTTCCCCAACGACTAGTCCTGATCTGGTCAGTGTGTTTTAACTGTTCTGAGGTTGTTTGTTGACTCATGCATGAGAGGAACTGCTGTAGTTTCTTCATTCTGATCGATCCATATCTGATCTGGGTTCTTATGCCTCACACAGTCACACTTAGGAAACAACTGTATAGAATATTGCAAAGACTGGTGTTTAAATATCATATTAAAAGGTGATTAGTGATCCAAAATAAATAATATTCATCATTTAGCATGTGAAAGGACTAGGGCCAACCTCAATGGTAAGGCTCAGGGGCAGGAGCGGATTTAGGACTGAAGATGATCCGGGGCTCAACACACGCGTGCATGCGCACACATACACACACACATAACATGCACTAATCTTTTCATAAAACATTCGGGGCTTGAGCCCATAGCCGGGCCTAACACCGCCCCTTCTCAGGGGCCTCATTAAAAAAGATGCTTATGCACTGTAGCGTTATGAATATGACATTTCTGCCCTTAACAGCTGCCCTTTGACACAGTGACAGTGTGCACAAATTGCCAAGGTTGTGCGCCTGTTCCTGGTGTTTACATTCCAGCAAAGAAGACAGAAGAAGGATGAAGAATGCTTTTCATTAATTAATCAAAGAACTTTATTTCTAATAAAGCTAATCAAAACAACTGTTGGTCAATAATAATCAGGTTATCAATCTGTGAAATTACAATGTTATGATTTCTGTGTTTGATGAACTACAGGACTTTTCTCTGAGCTAGACGTTCTGATCCATAGACTGGTTTGTCTTGCTGCAGACGCTGTGCTATCAGTTCCAGCACCAAAGGAGGGTCCGAGGTCCTGGCATTCCGGATCATACACGGGAGTCTCCGAAGGTACGTAGTTCAGCATAGATGGCGTTTCATGTCTCTTCCTCCTGAAGTCCCTCGTGGTTAGTTAGTCAAAACAACATCTTACACCCAGACTCGCCTGCATCAGATGGAGATTCTGAACTGACACACACACACCAACACTTCAGCATCCAAATCCATATTCATCCATCATTATAGAGTTAGTCCTGGTGATTGTTTCGAATAATTATAAAAACAAATATTCTTAAATGTCCCATATTTCACTTTTCTTGTCTCTAAGTCAATACAAAGTGTTTGTGTGATGTCGTCAGTAGGAACAGATCTCCTGTCCTCTTTTATGGAAATGGAAATATGGTCACCCTAGATTACGTGATAGTAACTACAGCCTTTTGGCTTTCACTGAAAAGAACTGAGACGGGATGATTGTTGCATCAAGCTTTCTCTTTATTGATGGTGAAAATCATCAGTTTACTGAACATAACTAAGTTACTAAGAAAGAACTGACTCAGCAGTCCACCGAAGAGGAAGTGCAGACAGCTGCACCAGTGAAAGACAGTCCTGGTTAGATGGCTGCACTCATGCTAATACCAGTGAGCCAATACTCCCTACACCTTCTACGTGGTTTTCATGTTTCATCACAGCCAAGGCCACTGTGGACGCCAGCGGTGTCTTCTCCACTCTGGAGTCAATACCTGAACACTACTGAAGAGTTTTGTGAATGAAATCTGGTGTTTTGACCTGAATTGTGTTGAATATTCTTTGAATGTATAGTTTTTTTTTTGTCAGACCATCACACATGCAGATGGCTCCAAACAGATCTGAAGGATCTTGTAATGACATTTACCGTACACCTTATAAGCAGTATTGCATTGTTGTCATTAAGAAGTAGCACCCGTTACACACTGTAGCTGCACTTGATTCCAATACTCCTTCTGAACACTACACAACCACCTCTACAAGCAGTAAGTTCAACAGAAGCATCACCAGCATCATGTGTCCACAGCAGCTGATCAACAGGGCAGCACTTTCTCTGCAGTCCGGCTGGTCCCCCTGCTCATCCTCCCATTCTGTTCTTCTCCTCTCTTGCTCATCTTTCTCATGCTTCCTCTGTGGCGTATAGTCCTCCTTCACTTTGTTCAAGCTGTCACAATTCTCTCCTTCATGGCCTTCGTAGCAGTGGCAGCGAAATCTCTCAGTCAGTAGCTGCAGCTCATGCTGCGATGGCCAGCCAGTTACAGAAAAGTCCCCATCCCCAGAGGGACGAATCTGATAGGTGTCAGCACTCAGGTGGAGGTAATGGTGAGCGTGGGGGTCACGGCGAACGCAGCGTCCGTTGCCTTGGCACAGGAAGTCGCTGCAAACTTCAGCGGCCCTTGTCACGTTGGTGACGTACTCACCAAGGCGGTGGTTTATGAAGGACTTCACCAAAGTGCAGTTATGCTGTGAAAAAGAAGCAAACAGTCTGAATCAGTGTGAAGGTCTTCCTGTCAGCAGTTAACCCTAACAATCACAAACAACATGTATCAGAGTAACAGAAACACTCTAAAATCTTTCTGATCATTTTCTAAACAATTGTGTTGGTTTGTATGTTTCAGAGACAAGAGACTGTCGCCATAATTGCATGTGTTACTATAATTCAGCAGTGATGTGTGATAAAGCTGTCATCAGCTGATGGGGAGTTGAAAGGGCGGATGTTTAAGCCAATCAGAGGCAGCGAAGAATGAGAAAGTTGTGATCACACCAGATTCGCTGCTGCAGGCGTGAATCTGCGGGTCTGCAGCATCCCCTTCTGGACGTGACAGCGGGACTTCCCATTTAAGGAAGGTCCGCTCACCTGGTCATCAGATCTTTATTTCCTCTTTATGATCTTTTATTTTCCCTTCTTCCTCCAGTCATCCAACTGGAACCGGTTGGTGTTTCTGATAATAGGGCTTGTGATCACATGTGATTATGCATAGCTTTCTGGGATGTGCATGGCCATGTTGGAAGGCTGATGAGTGCAAACCGTGAAACAAGCGGCACTATCGCAGAGAAGAAGCAGATCTGGGTGAAAGAAAATGTTGAACAACATTATAAAATCCTCCAAAATGGATGCGGCAGATACAGGGATACGTTTTAAGAAGACGTTTGGGACCGGTATGTGGACAAAATCAGCGTTATTAATGGTTTTTGTCCACAGGGAAGACCCAAGACCGGAGCACTGATGACATATTGTTACCGCTGCGATTCTGCATTACGAACATTTTACGGCTTTCTTGTTTGTGTTGTGAGAAGATGTAAACGTCCGGATGAGAGGTAAATGTTTCATTTGCTGGTTTTTCTAGTAAAACAATCAAAATTGTCATCTCACAGAAGAAGTGCGCTTGCATTAGCTCACCGGTATGTGTGCGTGCATGCGTGTGCGTGTGTGTGTGTGTGTGTGTGTGTGTGTGTGTGTGTGTGTGTGTGTGTGTGTGTGTGTGTGTGTGTGTGTATTAGGGGCTGCGTGACTTAATTTTTTTTAAAGTCGACAGTCAGGTAATGAAAATCGAGTCGACTTTGACTAGTCGTTGATGGCGTCATACACCTGAAGCGGATTGGTTGGCTGGAGTTTTTGACAATAAAATTGCGCCCACATTTTCTTTTAAGAACGGTAGTTTCTGTTCCCCTGCTTCGGCCATCTCCCCCCTCCCCTGTGCAGCGGCCGCAAACTCACTGATGCGCCTGCAGCCTCAGAGTTCCTGCTGCTCTAAACATTGAAAGAATCATTTAATTTTCTGTTCCTCACTTCTGATTACCTTCAATGGTGTCTGTTTGTTGTAACCACCAGGTACAAAAACTTACTTGTTTTTATTTGATTATTTTTCTGTCCTGTCTGTTTATTATCTTCCTGCATCTCCTCTCAATCCTAAAGAAAAACTGCTACCTGGGTTCATATATATTCACCTTATGAGTTACCTTTGAACTGCAGTTCTAAAATATCTACTGACTGCTAAAACAGCGGAGTGTGCACTGCTCGCCGGCCGCACCGGCCACTCTGGTGAGGTGACGTCACCAGAGGACTAAACAGGTGATGCGCTCCACTCCACAGCAGTGAAAAGCATCAGGCACAAATAAAAGACAGAAAACATAAAAGGAAATGAGCCGACATGAAAGATCGCGCGTTAAAAATGTTTTTGAGGTGGCGACACTTGATTTGATAACGTTACTGTGGCCGTGCTCAGGAAGCAGATGTCTGGAGCGCTATATGTTTGTATTTATTTATTCAGTTATTTTACTACATTATGAGTAGAAACACTTAAAAAACAGATAATTACACAAACAAGTGAAACTAGAAAAATTAGAATCTGGTGCAAAGCTCATTTATTTTAATAATTCAACTAGACTGAGACCATTTAAAGGTGCAGGAACCCTTTGAGGTGTTTTCTATTTTCAATTGTACATTTTAGTTGATTTGGTCGTGTTTCATATCACACAGTGACATTTGAATAAAAAAATGCATTTTTCTAAATAAAAAAGCTTTAGCTTACAGTGATAATAACCATGTCTAATGTTTGATTCAATGCCTCATTATTTTTCATTTTCAAAAGTGCTTTGAAGACACATTTTCCCGAATGATTAAAATGCAAGTAATTAAGATTAATTAGTTACAAAGTCTCTAATTAATTAGATTATTATTAATGAGTCCCACCCCTAAAAAATAATTAAATTAAAACAATGAATACAAAAACTATAATTTCTGAATGAATACATTAATACTAAAATAAACACACAGCACATGACTGAGTTGTGTGTCCAGCCTTTAGTTCCACTGCTCTGCTGTCATCACAGTGACATCAGTAAAACGAAGACACAATACCGTTTTTGTGCCTTTGTCTTTCAGCGGCAAATGGGATAAACTCTATTTTTATCATTTGAAGTGATCATTGCAACACACTCATAACCTGAGTTCACCAGAGCGGCTCTACGGCGCTACCCAGTGGCCATATGTTTCACTAGCAGACTATTCTGCTATTATGCAGCTTTTTTCTTTTGGCTCAGGGTCGATGTTACATGAAACAACTAATAATCCTCAATCCATCAGAATAATCCTCAGCTGCTGAAACATTAACATATTATATGACATTTAATAAAGTGTATTTTAAGACAAGTAAATTCCTGCTCTCGTGGATGTTGGTAGAGGATCTTTTAGGCGACTGGGCTTAATATTAAACTTGTAAAGAGAAGGACCAAGACCATCAAGTCATCGAGGGTAACGAAAAAGTTTTTTTTATCCTAAATTTTATTTGTGGTGATTTGTTACATGTAAACTGCTCAAAAATGTGACCAATTTTGATCAAATTTCAACAAAATCCAGACATAAAGATGTTAAAAGTGTTGATTCAAGCCTGCTAAAGTGTCCAAGTCCACCATTCTAAAAATCTAATTAGGCCGTGCAAAATTCACTCAAAGGGCAATAAATGGGCCCTGGACCACACTTTGGACATGCTTGGCCTAGATGCATTAAGATAGATACAAAAAATCTCACAGATGTTCTGAAAGGCGAGAGAGAAACTTTTTAACCACGACCAGACAGATTTTGGATCGGATCTGGTGAGGGTTCATCACTCAGCTCTGATTGCTACCATTCATAACTAATCTGTGAAGGAAGTTAATGCGATCACAGTTTTGCTGACTAGTAATGTTAAAGTTTGCATACTGACACGTTACTGTAAAAACACAATAATGCTTTAACCTTTGCCTCCGCTGCTGCAGTTAAATCAACTAGCCTAAAACACACAAAATCAGTCCTAACTACCGTCCTAGTGGCCGAGTCAACCAGTAACATGGTTTTTTAGGTTTTTTAGCAAACCAAAAGGATCTTCATGGATACTTTGTGCACAGAAGGCTGTGGGATATCCTGTCCACTTGAAATAAATAAGGAAACATTCCTTTCTTAACAATCCAGTTGTGTAGATGATCCTTTTGAAACTGGAAGGTCTTTGAACGCATCTCCACCAATGGTGTCAGCTTTCTAGCTTCTGATTATGCACAGCAGATGCCTATTTGGTCTTCCGCACAGACCAAGAAGGAGAAAGAAAACTAGAGTTTCCACTACGGTGACATTTTTGTCATAAAGAAAATGTTTACATAAAGAACACTTACCCTGGAAGAGGTCAAGTTGAGGTCACCCCAAATAACGAACCCTGCAGCACCCAGAGCAGCGCTCTCTCCGATGGTATGAATCAAGTCCTTCTGTGGGGGAAACACACATCACACCTTGTTCTTCATCACTAGAATCACAACCATCATCATCATCATCATCACTACCACCACCATCATCCTCATCATACTCTCTACCACCACCATCATCACTACCACCACCAGATTTTTCTGTTATAGCTCTATCAGAATCTTGGCTTTCAGAGGACTCAAAAGAAATATTTACGTAATATACCAAACTATAAATAAGCTCACGGAGTAAGAGCAAATAGATCTGGAGGGGGAGTATCCCTGTTGGTCCATTCTCAGTATGTCTTATGTTGATGTTTATGTGTTTAGCCTTTTATACAACTTTGCATTTCTTATTGATTTTTGAATCAAATTTTATTTTCTGTTTATAGAAATGTTGTTTATCTTCTGATAACAGTGTTTCATTGTAACTGTTAGTGTCATAACCATCCACACGTTTCTGTAATGTTTTCCTGGTTTACGCCTCTGTCAGTGCGCCCCAGGGCAGCCGTGGCTACATCGTAGCTCATCACCATCAGTGTGTGAATGTGTGTGTGAATGGATGAATGATACACTGTAGTGTAAAGCGCTTTGGAGTCCTTACTCTGAGAGGCGCTATACAAGTGCGGGTCATTTATCATTTACATTTGAAGTATTTTATCACCCACCTCTGTTGTTTTCTAGCAAATAAAATCACCTTCCAACACTTGATTTGATTGTTCGTACTGGTCTGTGTCATTAAATTCTTTACAATGTGAGTCATTCATAGTAAATCTTAAGCTTTACATTGTATTTGTGAGTTGGTTGTTTGTCTTTCATCATATTTTGTTACATAAAATCTCCACAAGAGGGCAGCAGAGAGCTCACTCAGTCTACTGTTTAAGGCTGTCTTGTATTTTCTGGTGCTGTTTTGTTTAATTACCTTATTATGATTATTATTATCATTTATTCAAAGTGGTTGGTTTTCAGTTATGCCAATAGAAGCAAGTCCAGGTTAGCATGTTCAAATGCAGAATCAGGAAAAGAAGTAATACACGTTCAGCATTTGGAACATGTGAGCACCTTACACCCTGGGGTTGGAATAGAGTCATGAGCCAGTTTACATATAAAGCTGAGCGAAATTAGGTATAGATTTGTTAGATTTTTTACATGTTTCTGTTACAGATGACTTGTGCTATTTGAATGTGTTCTCTAGGGTTTATAAAACCAATGGAAGATGCTTACTGTGGTGAGGAAGGCCAGGGCGTCATCCCGGTAGCCCAGCCTGAGGTAAACGTAGGTGGGAAGGTCGTACTCCCTGGAGGTCAGCGAGGCGATGCGGAGGGACTCTCTGATCCTGTGCTGGGCGAAGTGCAGATTACTGATGCTGTTGGTGTGACTCTTCCGGATCGCCACAGAGGGAAACAGCGCTGTACTGCTGTTCCAGAGCCACAGAAGCTCATCGTTCCTCATACTCTCCAGCAGGGGGCAGAGGCCAGTGTAGTTCTTCTCATGCAAATTATAGTTGTGACAGTCTGGATAGAGGTAGAACCCCCAAAGAGCATTGGGTCGAAGCTGTGTTCCCAGCTGGATTGTCTTCTGCATGAACACTTTGGAACTTTTCTCAAACCTGTGCCTTGCCAGCGCCTCCACCTGGGTGGCAGTCAAATTCACGTACGCCTTCATAGCGAGCTCCTTCGATTTGCGCCTGTAGATATCCTTCTTGTGCCAGTTACGGTCCCACTGAGGCCGCCAGAATTCCCAATCAATCACAGCTAGCCCACGGAAGTCTTCTGAGGGAATGAAGTGAACAATGTCCTGGTAAGCTTTGAGCAGGTGCAGGTCCAGACTGCAGTTCTGAGGGAGGCCGCCGTGGACGGGGCTGCCTTGGGGTGTGTAGTGGGGGTAGAAGCCTAGCCGGTTTGCATAAAAAATAGTCACATTCTGGCCGGTCCAGTCCGCCCGTGGGCTTCCCTGGATGTGAAAAAGACGGTCCAGGTTGGTTGTGATGTTGTACTTGATGGTGCACATATCTAGAGGAGCATTCCAGGCAGCAATGAAAGGCTTCTGGCTAATCAATGGAAGTTTTGCTGGCTTCTGGCCAAAGGTGGCCTGGAAAAGCAGGAGCAGCCAGGAGAAGGTAAGTGCAACAGGTACTACATGGTGGGAGGAGGATGTCCTACCCACTGGCACCACGAGCATTCTGGGATTCAAGCTTGTCAGCTGTCAGTCATCCTGATTATGTATGAAGAGAGAAGAAAGGAAGAACAACAGAAGTTTAAAATTCTTTAACCTGGATTAAAAACATTCCAAACATTTATATTAGTCCCGTCTGCAGTTCCAAAGCCGGTTTGTGTGAGTGTGTCTACCAGCAAAATACTGCTTCTCATCCATGTTGTGCTCGTTCTACTATTTTCTGACATCATTTAAATGAGCTTCTTGTTTTAGACGGTATCAATAATGAAACCACGGGGTGAAACCTTCAGTTCACAACAAACACGCGGAGACTCAGACTCTGGCTGCAGCTGATGAAGCAAACCGAGGCCAAATAAATAAATAAATACATTTCTATCTAAATTACTCATGGAATAACTCCTAGACGATAAAGGTGTTCTGCAAGTCCATGCACATGTAAAGGTCAAAGGGGAGAAAACGGAAGTCCGACACCCAAATACTGAAAAGAGTACTTGAGCTGGGTAGACCACAGCTTTTGAGGCCACATCTAGTTATTCTGTGACCAGAGCTGAAGACCATAATGAACGGCTTCTCTGCCAGAAGTCTCAGCAGGATGTAGTTGGTGCTGTCTCGGCATCACACACACACACACACACACACACACACACACACACACACACACACACACACACACACACACACACACACACACACACACACACACACACACACACACACACACACACACACAGCATTTAGAAACAAACAATCAGAGGTCACATGTCACCTCTGTGATGTTTTAAACCAACAGTTTAATGATTATCTTCCTGTCACGCTGCTAAACGTGTCTCATCAAGGTGATACGTGCACGAGCAGCGACAAACGCGCTTGCTTCATGCACATTCTTCAGCAGCTTTGGTAGTGATAAGCATCAAACCTTTTGTAAATAATAATGATAACACAAAACCGGAATCAGCTGCATAAACATTTCCGGTAGCTAGGCTCTTTCTAACTTTTTATACATTAAATCTGTTTCCAGCACAATGTGATTCAAGACAAAGTCAACACTCGGAAAAAATAGGTGTGTTTTATCCTTTTATGCAGAGAGAACGGCTTTAGGAGTCCTGTTTTTTACATTAAAACCACCACACTGAGCCCATACCCCGCCACCCTCTGGTAATATGTGAGGTAACAATAATATTAAACTATTGTAATAACAACAACAATATCATTATAACACTATATAACATTTTGTTAGATACATACTTCAGGACTCTAGAAGGCTCTGTGTCAGAGGCCATTTACCTGAGTGAATATTTGACAAGCTGATCTAAAAATGCAGCTAAAAATAAAAAGCCTGAATAGCTAAATTAGACATGTAATGTGAAGTACTTGTCTTGCCCATTGGGGGCTCGTCCAGGATCTTTTGTCCTGATTCATTATAGTCTGGTAGGTGGTGATTGTGTTTGATGGGTTTATGTGGGTTCAGTAAATGATGCAGCACAAGAGAAATGTAGGATTTATTTTATTTTATCTTTCTAAAGACCAAGTTCACTGAGAACTTTTTTTTGTTATTTTTGAAATACAATCACACACTGAGTTTAGCATGCAGGCCAGATTAATAAATAGCCTCCTGCATCTATCTCCTGCATTAATGACTGATAGGAAATAGATGGTGAAACTAGGATCAGAAAATCCAGACAGATTTACGTCACACTGTCACTTAACATTTATGAACTTGCCATCTTGGCTCATGATGGTAAGGCTGTTGTTGGTTTAGTGTCCAGGAAACAGCAGAGAACGTCTCAGCTAGCAGAAGCTAACTGTTAGCATTAGCAATTCCACCACACAGCAGAACTCTTCCAGACTTGAGTTATTTGTGGAGACAAAACATCTGTGTTGCAGAACAAACAGAGTCTGTCGTGTTTCTTTTAGCCAATCAGAGGAGAGATGTCCAAATGTCACAAAATAAGATTCAAAATCCTGTTTATTGGTGTACAGCACTTTGTTTGTCCATTTTGGCCATGTGAAAGCGCTTTATAAATAAAGTTGATTTGATTTGATTTGTTGTTTTCTGCAGCCCTCTCCTCTGGCTAACTCCTAGTTCCTAAAAAATTAGCGCCAGAGCTTGTTTCCCCACAGAGATTGACCCACAAGGCATTGATTTTTTCTAGAGACCTCAGCAGAAGAGTTGAAAATACAAGTGAACTTGGACTTTAAATATTATTTAAATGTCAACTGCTCTTTCTAAAAGCCCCTGAGCCACCATTTACTTTCCAACAAAATGGTGCTAGTGGGAACAGATGTAATAACACAGCAATTTCTCTTGTCTGTCTTGTAATTTTGCAGTTCTGAAATTTACACCAACAGCCGCAAAAACTCACCAAAACAGTCACAATTGTTGTGGCTTTGAGAAGAATTGACATGTTTTTAAAAATGGAGCAATTTGTTTTGTGTATACATTTCTTCTTATGGCTGCTGTGAAAATACAAGCTGAACCTGCTGGTTATTTTCTGGAGCCTTTGTATTCAGAGAGAAGCCACATTAGTTCTGGGTTTGGGTTTGGAAGCTGGTCCTGTCTTTTTGCTCCTGCCAATTCTTCTTGGAGGTTTGGAATTAATTTAGCAGCTTCACTCAACAGCAGCTGATTATTTTTCAACCAGGCTGTAATGTACCAGTAAAGCTTAGGCATGGTAGACCCGGTCATAGCAGAAATCACTTCCATCTGTAGGTTCTGGCACACATGATTAAACCAGAGGAATGCTTCTGATGATGCTCTTTAGAGGTTTCCTGTTTCAGTCAGATGAAATGCTGGATGAAGAACATGTGATGGATGTGAAAACCACAGCTATGAGAAATTTAAGCCATTTTAGAATAAATCATTGATAAATACATAGACCTGACGTGATTATTTTTGTTGTTTTGCTATAACCTGCTTTTATCTCAACATCACTTGAATGGTCCAGTGATATTTTCTGCACTTAATGTTTGCAGCCATTGCTGGAGGTGTGCAATCCGTCTTCATCCGTGTATCATTGAACCAGGTGTGCATTAATGGAAACGAGCTTCCTTTGTGAGAGAGTCCATCTAACTCCTCCAAAACAACAGATGGTTCAAAGACTTTTGATGTTTTATGTCACTCCTCCAGTGTTGTTTTTAGCACTCCAAAAGGATTTTCTGGCCATTTTAAGTATTTGTGTTGAAAACTTGGCGACATTTTAATCCTACTCTAAGCAGAAAGCTTCCTGTTTGGTCTGTGTTCAGTACAGTTCACATCCATCAGGACTGATTAGTTAACAGCTAGACCAAGAGCAGCCAAGACTGAAGCGTGATACTGTCATCTGTCCAGGAAGTCACATCTTGTAAAGTATAAGGGATTTTGCACATGAACTCAGTAGAAACAAGCAGACTAAAATAGCCTTGTATTTTTCATAAATTAGCAATAACATTGACAGATGTACAAAATAAAGTCCCCTTAGGATTGTTTATGATGTTAATGTTGATCGTTTCTGCAGACCAGCGTTAGCTGTTGGTAGTCCACACATCTAACTGCAGCAGTAAGTTAAACACGCTAACAATAATAAATACTTGTGATTCTGCTACAGCTGAAGCAGTGGGGATCTAAAGGAGTCTGAGTTTATTTGGTCCGAATAACTCAAACACCCATCAAGCCCTCCTAGAGCACTAACACGGTCAAAGCATCCCGGCTCTAATTAGTGGTTCTTAAGTCAACAGAAGATGGAAAAGGAGCCTTCAGATCAGACAGAATGTATTTTATATTTACAGTTCAGTTCTGTTTCAAGATGACTTATTTATCTAGAGTCGCCTGGAGCCGTCGTACAGTCTAGCATTGCTGTGTGTTTTTGTTGTGACATGGACTGGCTCCACTTATTTAACCAACACACGAGAGATGGTAGTTTTACTATCACTGTAATAAAATTGAGAGAGGACTTTGAATTCCAATTCTCGCGCTGCTCTGGGTGGCTGCATGTTGGAGTAGCTCTGTTAACTGCATGTAAGTTTAGCCTTTTTTGGACGTTTTTTCTTCTGGCGTCTTAGGGAAATCTGGGTTTTTTTGGACCATTTGCTTTTCTGTTACTGGTGCTGTGAAGCTTAGAGTATTTTTACTGCCATTTTTTCAATCTTCTCACTTTTTGAGCATTTTTTATGATGCATAACCATGGCAACAAGCTGGTTTATGATCAGGAGCAGCTGACTAAGATTGGAAAGGCTGAAATAATACATCAACTAAAGCCACAAATCCCAAATGAGCTAAAACGCAAGAAGCGTGGATGCAGAGCGGGAGCAAAACTGAGACAGAGAAAGAGGAAATTCAAACCATCTCTTCCATAGATTATAATGGGCAATGTGAGATCACTGGCCAACAAGATGGATGAACTCCAAGCCCTTTCAAGGACTCAGCCAGGGTATCGGCAGTGCAGTGTTATGTGATTCACTGAGACGTGGCTGCAGGACCAAATCCCCGATTCTAGCGTCTCTCTGCCAGGATTCCTGACTGTACAGGCAGACAGAGATCTGAAGAGGAGCGGGAAAAGAATAGGAGGTGGAGTGGCAGTGCTTGTCATAAACAGATGGTGCCATCCAGGTCATGTGTCAGCGAAATGTCATCGCTGCAGCCCAGATGTTGAACTCTTGGCAGTAAGTTGTCGCCCATATTATTGGCCAAGAAAGTTCACCAGTGTTGTCTTGGCAACCGTTTATGTTCCACCTTCAGCCATTGCTGAAAGTGCATGTGATGCCATCAGTTCCGTTGTCGCTAAGCTACAAACCCAGCACCCCAATGCATTTGTGGCTATATCTGGTGATTTTAATCATGCCTCGCTCTCTGCTACACTTCCAACATTTCAAAAGTTTGTCAGCTGCTCCACCAGAGAAAATAAGACATTGGATTTGTGTTATGCAAATGTAAAGAATGCATACATGTCCAAAACAAGACCTCCTCTGGGACAATCAGATCACAATCTTGTTTTTCTCAGCTCAGAATACAAACCACTTGTTCAGAGGCAACCTGTGACAAGAACTGTGAGAAAATGGTCACA